ATATATGTTTATGTTTAATTATCAACTATATAATGATACCTAAAACTTAAAATCAGTTTAAAATTTGAACATAATTGCTTGCGCTTCCAATTAAACACAACATATCAGGCACGATCTCTAGCGATGCACGATTCAATTCAAAAATATTTTTCAATCTTTTCAGATAGACGAGTGTGAAACCAGCATCCATTCATGTGTGATGTCAATGCGTTTTGGTAACAATACCATTGGATCTTATATTTGCAATTTTTGTAATCCTGGGTACTTTGGAAATGGAAAAATCGTGTCTTGGTAAAACCTTAAACTAATCGTCTTGCAGAGTTCATCACACACTATGCAGTGCCAGTCCCTTTCCTGTTGCCTTTATTAGCTTTTGATTCTGATATCCAGCAAACCCCTTTAATTCTCTGCTTGCAGCTAAAATGTTTTTGCGTACCTCTGATCTCGAGTTGTCGCCTCCCGCAGTTGATTTCAGCAGGTGGGTTCTTTTTTTTCCACAAAGTAGTTTTTGGGTTTTCGTATCCGACAGTGTCGTACTTAGTTGTCTTAGTTGCTTTCGGTTTTGTGTTTCACCATAGGGCGTTTTGTAATTAGGAGCAGTCTTGTAAACTTACGGTAATTTTGCAAATGAACTGGTTTTGAGGTTCCTTGCTGACCCAGAGGCCCCACATTTATTCTTGGGTGGGTGTCTTTCTGGGTGTAGGCAAAATGTAATATTTGTTTGGATTTGTTTTTTTTTTTTTTTATCTTCATACATTCTCTCCCTTCAGATATTAACGAGTGTACCACTAATGTCCATAATTGTGATGCAAAATGCTTTCTGTGATAACACTGATGGATCTTACACCTGCGCATGCAGCCCTGGATATACTGGAAATGGAACATCCTGCCCGTGGTAAAATTATCAACGCATTTGTATTTTTAAGCGACCATATATTATTGCTATTAAAACTGGGGGCAGGGGTAGGACAGGGCGGGGGGGCAGTTGTATGTCTCTGCTCCGTTATAAGCAATATTTGTTTGGGTTTGTTTGATTTGTCTTAACATCTAAGGTTGCTGAACACAATTTCTCTAAATCGGATTTATCCCTTTACTGTGTATTTTAACAACTTTATCATTACATAAAGAAAAAAGGGAGGAAAGGCTGATAAAAAGTTTAACAGAAAATAATGTTTTTGTCGCCTTTGACATATCACGTGACCTCAGCGCGAGCCTGTTGAACTAGAGCTGAACATGAGTACTCATAAGCAACTTAAATAAACTAAGGTATCTTTAAATCTACTCATTAAAATGTGACGAAATTTGGCAGAAATCCTGTTCATGTCACGCTCAAGCCAATAAAAGCGTCAAAATATCTTTTTCAACAAAGGAGTTTTGTGACAAAATCAAGATTTCCATAAAGGCTATTTTCTTGAAGATTTTTAAAACTGTTCGTTACAATTTTGGTCAAGTGGTTTCTAAAAAGATGAGGGTTACTAATCGAAAGCTGTGTTCAATTTTCTAAGAAAATCCAATGACTGAATTTTGCTTAAACCTAATAAATTGAAATTTTTTGGCTTGTTGTCAAACTTCCATGTTGCCATGGCAACAATCCAAGTCTCACTTTTAACTTAATAAATGTCATGTCTGATAAATATAGATTGTTTGATGTGCTGAATCAAAATTTTAGCGTTATACCCGCAATGAGTCTTAAATAAAACCCCAATAATTGGTTATGATCCACAACCTATCAAACTGTGTTCAGGCACCTTAATTCTCTCCTTTCAGATATTAACGAGTGTACAGCCAAAGTCCATAACTGTGATGCCAATGCTTTCTGCAATAACACTCAGGGGTCTTATAACTGCACATGCAGCCCTGGATACACTGGAAATGGAACATCATGCATCGGTAAATCATCCTGCCTAATGCATGTAAAATTATTTTAGCGAGGTGCAAGAAAGAAGCAGTACCCCCATAAATGCATTAAGTAATTCTCCAAACATATCTCTCAGCGTACTTATGGAAGCCCATCTGATAAAGTACAAGCTATTTCTTGGAAAAAGCACCCTGTTGTTTGAATCTTATAAGCGGCCACCTACCGTATATATATGAGACCACTTACACTTGCATCTTGTTTGGTCGCTTAGAATAGAAAGCTTGACTGTATGTTAAGAAGTCCGAAAGAGAGGAACCCCATACATAGAAACGTTCCTTATCCAAGGCTTATTATTTCATTCATAGACATCGTTCTGCTGAAAATACCTTCCTTTTAGATATAACAAGTGCATACTGGAAATGAAACAGCATGCACCGGTATATCAAAATCGTTTCTGCTGCAGTATTGGAATTATGTTTCGTTGATCCGGTTTGCCCGCATCATCTTAAATACTTTCTTAATACTTCTTTCCTTTCAGATATTAACGAGTGTACCACTAACGTCCATAACTGTGATGCCAATGCTTTCTGCAATAACACTCAGGGGTCTTATAACTGCACATGTAGCCCTGGATACACTGGAAATGGAACATCATGCATCGGTAAATCATCCTGCCTAATGTATGTAAAATTATTTTATTTAGGTCCAAGAAAGAAGCAGTACCCTATAAATTAATTAAGTAATTCTCCAAACATATCTTTCTTAAACTGTGTTCAGGCACCTTAATTCTCTCCTTTCAGATATTAACGAGTGCACAGCCAACGTCCATAACTGTGATGCCAATGCTTTCTGTAATAACACTGGGGATCTTATAAATGCACGTGTAGCCCTGGGTACGATGGAAATGGAATATCTTGCACCGGTAAATTATCATGACCAATACATTTTTTAAAAAAAAAAGCAATGTATGTATTTTAACTCTTTGATTTCTTTTATTTCCTTTCATTTCAAGTTTCGTTTTTCTTTTATGTTTTGCTTTTTGTTTTTGTTTTTGCTTTTTTGGGGGGTGGGCGAGCTTAAAATCGTTTGAGCTGCAGTATTTGAATTATGTTTCGTCAAGAGCCATTATGGCTCTTGGTTTCGTTGATATGTTTTGCCCGCATCATCTTTAATACTTTCTTAATAATTCTTTCCTTTCAGATATTAACGAGTGTACCACTAACGTCCATAACTGTGATGCCAATGCTTTCTGCAATAACACTCAGGGGTCTTATAACTGCACATGCAGCCCTGGATACACTGGAAATGGAACATCATGCATCGGTAAATCATCGTGCCTAATGCATGTAAAATTATTTTAGCGAGGTGCAAGAAAGAAGCAGTACCCCATAAATGCATTAAGTAATTCTCCAAACCTATCTTTCTCAAACTGTGTTCAGGCAACTTTAATTCTCTCTTTTCAGATATTAACGAGTGTACAGCCAAAGTCCATAACTGTGATGCCAATGCTTTCTGCAATAACACTCAGGGGTCTTACAACTGCACATGTAGCCCTGGATATACTGGAAATGCAACATCATGCATCGGTAAATCATCGTACCTAATGCATGTAAAATTATTTTAGCGAGGTCCAAGAAACAAGCAGTACCCCATAAATGCATTAAGTAATTCTCCAAACATATCTCTCAGCGTACTTATGGAAGCCCATCTGATAAAGTACAAGCTATTTCTTGGAAAAGGCACCCTGTTGTTTGAATCTTATAAGCGGCCACCTCCCGTATGAGACCACTTACACTTGCATCTTGTTTGGTCGCTTAGAATACGAGAAGCTTGACTGTATGTTAAGAAGTCCGAAAGAGAGGAACCCCATACATAGAAACGTTCCTTATCCAAGGCTTATTATTTCATTCATAGACATCGTTCTGCTGAAAATACCTTCCTTTTAGATATAACAAGTGCATACTGGAAATGAAACAGCATGCACCGGTATATTAAGAATCGTTTCTGCTGCAGTATTGGAATTATGTTTCGTTGATCCGTTTTGCCCGCATCATCTTTAATACTTTCTTAATAATTCTTTCCTTTCAGATATTAACGAGTGTACCACTAACGTCCATAACTGTGATGCCAATGCTTTCTGCAATAACACTCAGGGGTCTTATAACTGCACATGCAGCCCTGGATACACTGGAAATGGAACATCATGCATCGGTAAATCATCCTGCCTAATGTATGTAAAATTATTTTAGTTAGGTCCAAGAAAGAAGCAGTACCCCATAAATTCATTAAGTAATTCTCCAAACATATCTCTCAGTGTACTTATAGAAGCCGGTCTGATCTGATAAAGTACGAGATTTTTCTTGGAAAAGGCACCCTGTTGTTTGATTCTTGCATGTAAGCGGCCGCCTCCCGTATGAGACCACCAATACACTTCGCATTTTGTTTGGTCGCTTAGAATACGATAGGCTTGACTGTATGTTGTGTTGTCCGAAAGAGAAGAACCTCATACGTAGAAAGCTTTCCTATCCAAGGCTTATTATTTTATTCATAGACGTCTTTCTCCTTAAAATAAGGGTTTTTTACCTTCCTTTTAGACATAACGAGCGCACGTCTAAGGTCCATAACTGTGATAATGTCAATGCGTTTTGTATACTTTCCTTTCAGATATCAATGAGTGTACGACTAACGTCCATAAATGTGCTGCGAATGCTTTCTGCAATAACACTGATGGATCATATAACTGCACATGCAGCCCTGGATTCACTGGAAATGGAACAGCATGCACCGGTATGTCATTACGACCAATACTTGTAAAACTATATTATGAGGTCTAAGAAAGAAGCATCCCATACATAGAGTGCTTCTCTCCGTATTACCTTAGGGTGGATTTCCACTGTCGCGTAATTTTTACGTGCCGGTGCGTAAAATTTACGTTCGCAAATGAAATAGAGGCAATGCATAAAGGGCGCACGCAACGTCAAAGTTGAACTTCGCTCAACTTCAAGTTTAAGCTCGACACTTTGTACCTTACCTCTATTTTATTTACTCGAGTAGAATTTACGTGCCTTTACACGTACGTAAAGATCACGTGACAGTGGAAGTCCACTCTTACTCAGCTTACTTATGAAAACCCGTCTGTAAAAATAAGAGCTTTTTTTTACTGTCTTTTTAGATATTAACGAGTGTACGACTAACGTCCATAACTGTGATCCCAATGCGTTCTGTAATAACACTGATGGGTCAGATGGATCTTATACCTGCACATGCGCTCCTGGTTATGCTGGAAATGGAACAGCATGCACCGGTATATCAAAAATCGTTTCTGCTGCAGTATTGGAATTATGTTTCGTTGATCCGTTTTGCCCGCGTCATCTTTAATATTTTCTTGATTATTCTCTCCTTTTAGATATCAACGAGTGCACGACTAACGTCCATAACTGTGATCCCAATGCGTTCTGTAATAACACTGATGGATCTTACACCTGCACATGCGCTCCTGGATATACTGGAAATGGAACAGCATGCACCGCCGGTATATCATTATAACTAACACTAGTAAAACTATATTATGAGGTTGGAGTTTTTAAATTAATAATTTCCAGTGAATTTAAGAGGGGGTCAGTAGGGGGTCAGTTGAACTGGGGTCAGCGTTTTGTCCTAGCCGTTGTAATTGTGGTATTTTGTCGCCACCTCTGTACAGCTGACTGTGTATGTCTTCTGTCCCTTGTTGACGGCTTCTTCTTCGTTGTGCAAAGCGATATTCTCTCTGCTGCGAGGTTTCTTGCTGTTATCGTTTTCTTCGTTGCTCGCGCTGAATCTCAATTCGGTGTTTTTGCTCTTAAAGGAGTCTCGGTGGTCATGATCTTTTCCGTCAAGGATTTGCAGCCACTTGTTGAATCCAGAGTTGTTGTGTTTGCTGTTCTGGGTCATTCGCATTTAAGGAAATTGCTCGTGATTTACCGATAGCAAAAATTGCTTTCACAAAAGATAAATAAAACACCACACCTTCATGTCGAATGATTCCCCAATAAACCGGTTCACTCTGCACTCGAATGTTGCCTGGAAACACACAACGCTGCGTAACCACAGGTGACGTCAACCGGATACCAACCGGAAGTGACCGATATATACAAATATATATGGGCCAACCGGCTTTGCATGCCGCTCAGACTTCGTGCGACCCACGCGCTGCTCGCACGCTGCGCGCGCGACAAGTTTATAAACTCTCTTTCACGAGGAATTAACCTGTCCATTCCGGGGGTTCTGAGACGGTTGAGCCGAATTTCCCCTGATCCAAGAGAGATCATTCTCTCTTGCCCGATCTGAATGCGATGCGATAATTGTTGCAGCGTGGAATAGTTTACTGTTTTCTTTCTATCTCCCTTTTCAGAAATATATCAGACTGACTGCTGGCGCAGCGCATCCAGGATGCCAAACCAGTCATATTTTTGGGCTTACTCAACTAATCCTAGTGGCAGTGACAAAGTGGACGCTATCGATTTCTTGACAATTCAGAATGACGCCATTCTGTCAGGGTACCGTCTGTGGGGAGTCCAAAGTGTCAATTCAACTACTTTCCTGGTCACCATGAGTTTGTACGGGGAAAAGGGCTTGTTGATCGCTAACGAGACTAGAACCTACCCTACTAGCTCCAGTGAGAAGACGTTTGAAGTGCACTTCTCACAAGAGATCGCCATAAGTAATAATGAAAGATATACTGCAGTTGTTAGAATAGTAACATCCGAACTCTCTTACGCTCTTGACGACGGCATGCCAGGTGCACGTTGTTCTGGTGTCAGAGTTTATTTCTTGACATCGTCAAAATACGGCAACCGTTCAGACGTTTCGACAGGCCAAATTCCGGCTTTAATATTGCGTTCCAAGGGGTCATCTGCGAAACGTTAAAGCTTGGCGAGGCTTTTTTTTTTGTTTTGTTTTTGTTTGTTTGTTTTTTAGCAATTTGCGAAAAGGTAAGTTGCGATACTATGTCACTCTTTCAGCGTTTGTGACCTTATGCCGACTTCATAAGAAAAAATGTACCTTTCCCTCCCTCAGTACTCTGCCCAATGTTGGGCTATTGTTGAGCTACCTTTAGGGGGACAACGAATACCCAACTTTGAATGGAAAAAAAAAACTTATTGTGTTCTTCAATGTTGGAGAAACTTTCTTTGTAGCTTTTAAATGATTCTAATGGTTCTGACCTCGAAAATGAAGTTGAACAACTTGATCATCCGAGCGATTTGAACATGAAATGTAGATTTGAAAAAAATTCGAATAGTCGGTGTATTTTCATTCCCGAAATTAAAATCTTTGCAAAAAGTTGTAATCCGTATTTCTAATAGCAACAACCCTTTTTAAATAAACCCATTGTAGTATTTTAATTGTGCTTATTAGAAAATGTACCTTATTACAAGACTCCGTGTTCCACTTGCCGTAACGGGACGGCAATCTATCAATCAATCAATCAATCAATCAACTTTCTTTAAACACGGTAAACAATGGCTCAGCAATCTGGTTTTCAGACATGCCGTGTAACAATTACAAGTTATAAAATTAAAACTAGTGATTAACTAACAATAATTTGGCACAAGAATTTAGTACAATTTTATCTGTTCCTATCGGCTCTTATAAACGTGACTACTTAGTTCGTATGGTAAGCAAGACTAATAATACTAGTAAAAATAGTAATAATTTGAAATACAATATAATAACAAGAAATGAGTCATTAAAGAAATAAGATAGAAACATAATAAAAGTTATATCCTAGGATATCGCGAGTTTGAAGCTAGTAAGATCCCTTATTATTCATTCAAAATATTTCACCTATTTTGATTGGCTAAAAGCACGCGCATAATTCACCATAACCAGTTACTGATGACCAAATTTGGAAGAATTTTGTGTTTAGCGAGGAACTGACGTCAAAAATGCAGCGTTCTTGCAGGTGAATGCACCGTTAACCGAGAAGACCTGGGGACGAGGTTGAGTTGTTTTGGTTGTGAACTTGAAAAATGGCGGACAATTCACTCGTTTCAAGAGTAAGAACGTTAACTAGTCGAAAAAATAGCTAAAAACATGGCAAGAACAGCAAGAAGGCAACTCGAAGGGCGACATCTGCTATTTAGAGAATATTTGCGGAGCTGAACAAAACCTAAACGTGTAGTATCGAAGATGAACTTAACATCGATGGATCGATGGAGGTAAGCATGTTTTAGCCATGTTTTTAAACTAGGAATTATTTCGAATGGATAATAAAACAATTATTGAATGCGGCTTTCGCATCATATGAAGAATTATGGAGATCTCGGAGGGTGTTATCCGCCTGGGCCTCGGCCTCGACTGATAACACCCACCTCAATCTCCATAATTCCTCATAAGATACTCAGCCTTATTCTTTAATTGTTAATTATTCTTCCCTTTTCCTGTATTCTAGTTTCTACTGTGATTTATTTTGTAAAATCGCATCGTCTTTTCCCTAATGTTATATGTCTACTTAAACTAATCTAGGGAGAGCCTGGACCCCATATAAGCCCCAGGCTTCCAGTACAGGCTTTCCCGTCACTATCTTTTTTATATATTTTTCAGTATATGTAACCTGTAAAGTGACGAAAACAAATAAACCAATCAATTAGTGAATCAATTGTCCAATTTTTACGTTGATAGGGGCAAATACCAGATCAGTGGCGGATCTAGGGGAGGAGCCCAAGGGGGCCGCCCTCCCCCCACCTTATTTTTAGACCAAAGTGAGGCCAGGCTCCTCATTATGTCAGGGTCTGGATGATCACCCCACCCCCCCCCTTTAGCTAGGAAAACGCGATTCAGCCGCCGTTGTTTTGGCTTTCAAAGCCGGCGCTTTTCGCTACTAGTGGACTATAACATATAGCCTAGTAGCAGCTCAACCAATCAGAACGCACCATTGATAATAGACCACTAGCTGGATTAATTTATATCATATATATTTGATTTTTTGGGTTAAAACGTAATTGATTTAAAAATATCATACGACTATCTCGTGACTTTAAGTTAAGTTATATATATAATTAAGTTATATTTAAATGTGCTCCCGTGCGTAAAACCACGTTCGATTAAAAAGCAAATTATCCCTCTTACTGTGGGGTCTGAAAACACCCTTTTTATTAAACTGTCTCTTTTTATACTCTGGCTGCGGGCTGTGAAACCACGATTTTGACCCTTAAGAAAATTACGGTGAGAAATCTGCATTACAGCACCAGTAGTTATTATCACCTAGGAAATTTAAATGCCATGAATGTTTACGCCAGTTCTTCACCGTGTTACTGCGTATTCTTGCATTTCTTCCGTTCAGTTTTAGTCAGAAATTCAGCTATTTTGTCTTGGGATAGCCATGCGAAAGATCCTTTTTTTTTTTAGATCACCATTGCCAAAGCAGCCTCGTGTCTAGATTGATTGAATGAGTGATTGCAGTAATACATAAATCAAGCTTTTGCCTTTCTGTTACTTCTTTACGTAGCCTTTATTACAACTTGGTTTATCCTTATCTTGTATATTGTACTTCAGTATGGGTTTCGACGTATCCCACAAACTTGAATCGTATTGTTCTACTTCAGAAAAAAAAATTCGAATTATTTCCAAGACGCCATTTGATGCTCACACTGATCCTAAATTCAAACGTTTGCAAATACTGAAATTATCTCAAATTTACTTTTTTCAAGTTGGAAAGTTCATGTATTCTTATTAAGTAGGCCTGCTTCCTAATGTATTTAAAGAAATGTTTTTAATGACAAATCAAGTTCATTCCCATAATACCAGAAATTCAAATACTTTCTACTTTACACTATTATGCACTAATTCGATTGCCTTCTTTTGTTTACCCCTTGCTATATCAGGGGCACCCAACGTCAGTTTTGGGAAAATATCTGTTCGGGAGACGATTTGAAATCTAGAATTTTCGGAACATTTGTTTTAAAATTTCTTGCTTGCCTGCCTCTTCTAGGATTTTTGAACATCTAAAAAATCATATAATTGCCCATGTTTTTAACGTACTTTTACCCTGAGGTCACCAAGAATTTTCGGGAGCCTTTTTTCTGGCTGAAATTTTCGAAAAGGTGAGTTTTGATCCCCATAATTTTTGGATCACTAGTAAGACTAGGAAATCAGAACAGATGAAAAATTTTTAGGGGATAAAAAATATGCCTATATCTGCCCTTTAAATACTAGAGTAGGTTTAACAATGCTATGTTTAAGTGGTTTCGAACTATTTTCTCGGAGGGTGTCCCTGCTGTATTGCACTTACTATTTGTTCGTACTTGTTTCACTGTTCAAGTAAAATCACTTTATCATGACGCATGGGCTATCATCATGCATCTTTACGCCGGCTCAAGATCTTACATCCTTATAACGAACGTAGAAGCTGAGGACTTAAATAAATGTTTCTTGAAATCAGCCGTAGACAATCCTGTCTGCAATGCAAACAAAGCAAGAGGTTATTTTTAGTGCGAAAAAAGGGGGCTCCTGCGAAGCGTTTGCGTGTGTTAAAAGTGGGAGAATGCCTGGGGCCAACAACAGAACGGAATATTTTAAATAGATTGTATAAGTTTAATATCCCTGAAAAAGTGGGATATTATTTGTCAGTAGTGGCAGTGGAAACAAGTTGACAGCTTCAGAGTCTGGGCTGATAAAAGTGAACGAGGGAGAACATGAGTGACGCCACGATAGAGAGTCCAAGTCGTGAAAATGACCGGCGAATACTGATCATGTTAACTGTCTTCATCTGTCTTATTGCCGTTGTCATTTTGGTTATTGCTGCTATAATGTTGTCATTGATAATATCTCGAAATAATGATGTTGATGATGATGCTAAAGGATCAAAACTTGACGCCGTGGTGCAGGGTAAGCAAACGTTACAACTTTTTAAAAGTCCGGCTGTCTACTCGTAAGACCCTCAACTAGCGATTAAAGGCTTCTAAACTTGCCCTGTCATATCTCGGTTTAGTCCGCTCTTAGAACTTTTTCAAGAGCCCGCGCACTTGTTTTGCAGTAGGTATCTCAGCTAGGGTAAGTTTAAAAGACAAATTTGTTTCCCGGGGAATTTTACATTTTGTTTCAGTATTTTTGCATTCCTGATTCGGCAGGGGCACCCAACGACTGTTTTCTGTAAAATATCTGTTCGCAGAAGCAAATATTGCCTAGAATATTCTATTGCTTGAATACGGCTAAAAATTTCTAGAAGAGCGCTCCATTCAGGTACGATTTTCGAAACTTATCTAAAAAATTCCCTACTATCTTCTGAAGTGTAATATTTTATCTTTTACTCCTTATGTTAGGCTAATTTTCGTAGAAAAAGAAAAACCGAAAATTTTCGGATTCAAAAATGAGATGAAAAGAAGAACAAGAAAAATTCTCACCGAGTTCGTTCAACTGCATCTAAAACTTTCGGAAAAATAACAGTGAAGCCCTTGTAATTTCGAAAAGCCTTCAGTTTCCCTAGGATGACCGAACAGATGCAACTTTTATAGTGCTGCTTAGAATACATTTCTAGAGATCTAAAAGTACTCTGGATAGCATGAAAAGACTCTTCAATGCGTTTAGGAGGAAACCGTCCTTGGGTGCCCCTGATTCGGGGGCACACAGTCAGCGACTTTTTTTTCTGTAAAAGGACTATTCGAAGGGGCAAACTATTGGAGACAAATAAACTAACTTCCGAGTTAGGATTTCGAGTTATATTTCGAGCTGGATTTTCGAGATAGGAATTTGAGTTGGATTTTCGAGTTAGGATTTCGATTTGGATTTTCGAGTTGGATTTTCGAGTGAGGATTTCGAGTAAGGATGTAGAGTTGTTGTTGTTGTTGTTTTTTTTTCGAGATGGTTACTAGTAATCCAGCTGTAATGAATCGGCTAGTTTGTCCGTAAACCGTCTCGTAGATGTCCAGTGCAATGCAGTCAGCAAAAGAATTCCTGTAGGGGTGGGGTTGGTATTTTGCCTTTTTATTCTGCGACATCACTATATAAAGTATACATGAAGGAAGAGGCAAGGACATTGAGTCATACGTAACGTCATTTCCAAAAATACGATAACCGGGCGTAATCTAGAATATTATGATTTTTCTTGTCATATCTATTCTCGTGGTACAAATTTAGAAATCGCGTTAAGGTGGCTCGATATAGTTTTTCAAGGTCAATACCTCCCAAGTTTGAGCGTAAACTGCGTCGTCATAAACAAGGATTTGGAAAAATTGACACCACAGTTGCATTAGATAAAGAAGAAAATTGGTTATGATCAGGGTTGCAATGACATCGGAGTTGTCATAGCAACGAAATGACGCTATTACCTATTTTACTTGCAGCAGTATTTCTCGGCACAGGGAACTGTTCTTCCAAAATCGTTTACTGGAGCTTTTACCTACGATAGCTGCCTCGATGTTCGTGAAGTTTAAGCGAAATCTGTAAGAGCGTTATCGAGATATTTTGGGATGAAGTTTTTTTGGTTAGAAATACGGTAAAAAAATTGACAATCTTGATGTTCGACTGTTATCTGTACTAAACGAAGCGCTTTCGACATGCAATTTCACCTCATAGTAGTTTCAATCTTTTTAAAAACGTGTGTGAAAGATCATGGAGATACCTCCAGCCGATCGCTAGAAAGGAGGATTTGATTAGTATGTATCAAGGCGCTCTTGTTAGCGATGATGTAAACATTTCGGTCTACTTTAACAAATTAGCGAATAATTTTTAAACCACTCGATAAATTTTTTAGAAAATATAAGAATCTGGAGATTAACCCTCCTTTTATATGACCTCTTAGTTTCAAGATTATTGATATAATGTAAGGCAGTAAAATAAGGGCTTGAATTCGCTAACATTTTGTCAGAAATTTTGTGTTTACAAGTGAGAGCCTCTCATTATTCAGGGTATTGTCTCCAAGTTTCATATTTTCGTGCATAACAATAGCTAGCAGTTTTGCATATGTCAAATGCATTGTTAGTTACTGCTGTTCACGTGAAAATGAAACTTTGAGACAATACCCCAGATTGTCAATTTTTTACCGTATTTCTAACCAAAAAAACGATAACGCTCTTACAGATTTCGCTTAAACTTCACGAACATTGAGGCAGCTATCGTAGGTAAAAGCTCCAGTAAACGATTTTGGAAGAACAGTTCCCAGTGCCGAGAAATACTGCTGCAAGTAAAATAGGTAATGGCGTCATTTCGTTGCTATGACAACTCCGATGTCATTGTAACCCTGATCATAACAAATTTTCATCTTTATCTAATACAACTGTGGTGTTAATTTTTCCAAATTTTTGTTTATGGCGACGTAGTTTACGCTCAAACTTGGGAGGTATTGACCCTGAAAAACTGTATCGAGCCACCTTAAGAATTAGACACAACAAAAGGCAAACATATAAATCCTATAATTCCATTATATTTTGAATACCAACAAATGGCTCCAATGCTGCTTTACAGAGCTTTCCTAGCTTCTTCCCTTGGCGGACACCAAGCATATATTCATAGAAATATTTGTTTATTTATTTATTTATTTATTTATTTATTTATGGGGCATCGAATTTTGCATTTGGCTAAGAGCACGGGTGGTTCACGTGATGCGCGCGTGCTTCGCGCGCGACGAGATTATAAACTCGCTTCGCAAGAATTATCGTCCATCTCCCTAAACATCCAAGGAAGCTTTTCTTTTTTTCTTCTTTTATTGTTCTATATTTATGTTTAATTATCAACTATATAATGATACTCTAAAAGTTAAAATCAGTTTAAAATATGAACATAACTGCATGCGCTTCCAATTAAACCACAACATATCAGGCACGATCTCTAGCGATGCACGATTCAATTCAAAAACATTTTTTCAATCTTTTTCGATTCAGATAAAGACGAGTGTGAAGCCAGCATCCATTCATGTGATGTCAATGCGTTTTGTAACAATACCATTGGATCTTATATTTGCACTTGTAATCCTGGGTACTTTGGAAATGGAAAATCGTGTCTTGGTAAAACCTTAAACTAATCGTCTTGCAGAGTTCATCACACTATGCAGTGCCAGTCCCTTTTTCTTGTTGCCTTTATTAGCTTTGATTCTGATATCCAGCAAACCCCTTTAATTCTCTGCTTGCAGCTAAAATGTTTTTGCGTACCTCTGATCCAGAGTTGTCGGCACCGCAGTTGATTTCAGCAGGTGGTGGATGTACCTTCTCTTTTTTCCACAAAGTAGTTTTGGGTTTTCGTATCGGCGGACTCGTACTTAGTTGTCTTAGTTGCTTTCGAGGTTTGTGTTTCATCATAGAGCGTTTTGTAATTAGGAGCGGTCTTGTAAACTTACGGTAATTTTGCAATAAACTGGTTTTGAGGTCCTTGCTGACCTACAGGCCCCCACATTTATTCTTGGGTTGGTGTCTTTCTGGGTAGTGTAGTCAAAATGCAATATTTGTTTGGATTTGTTTTTGTTTTATCTTCATACATTCTCTCCCTTCAGATATTAACGAGTGTACCACTAACGTCCATAACTGTGATGCCAATGCTTTCTGTGATAACACTGATGGATCTTACACCTGCGCATGCAGCCCTGGATATAATGGAAATGGAACATCCTGCGCCGGTAAATTATCAACGCATTTGCATTTTTAAGCGACCATATATTATTGCTATTAAAACTGGGGGGAGCGGGGGTAGGAGAGGACGGGGGTTGGTTTAAATTACGTCTCTGCTCCGTTATAAGCAATATTTGTTTGGGTTTGTTTTGATTTGTCTTAACATCTAAGGTTGCTGAACACAATTTCTCTAAATCTGATTTATCCCTTTACTGTGTATTTTAAAAACTTTATCATTACATAAAGAAAAAGAGGGAGGAAATGCTGATAAAAAGTTTAACAGAAAAAAATGTTTTTGTCGCCTTTGACATATCACGTGACCTCAGCGCGGGCCTGTTGAACTAGAGCTGAACATGCGTACTTTCATATTCAACGTAAATAAACTACAATATCTTTAAATCTACTCATTAAAATGCGACGAAATTTGGCAGAAATTTTGTTCATGTCACGCTCAAGCCAATGAGAGCGTCAAAATATCTTTTCAACAAAGGAGTTTTGTGACAAAATCAAGATTTCCATAAAGGCTATTTTCTTGAAGATTTTAAAAAACTGTTCGTTACAATTTTGGTCAAGTGGTTTCTAAAAGATGAGGGTTACTAATCGAAAGCTGTGTTCAATTTTCTAAGAAAATCCAATGACTGAATTTTGCTTAAACCTAATAAATTGAAATTTTTTGGCTTGTTGTCAAACTTCTATGTTGCCATGGCAACAATCCAAGTCTCACTTTTAACCTAATAAATCTCATGTCTGATAAATATAGATTGTTTGATGTGCTGAATCAAAATTTTAGCGTTATACCCGCAATGAGTCTTAAATAAAACCCCAATAATTGGTTATGATCCACAACCTATCAAACTGTGTTCAGGCACCTTAATTCTGTCCTTTCAGATATTAACGAGTGTACAGCCAAAGTCCATAACTGTGATGCCAATGCTTTCTGCAATAACACTCAGGGGTCTTATAACTGCACATGCAGCCCTGGATACACTGGAAATGGAACATCGTGCATCGGTAAATCATCGTGCCCAATGCATGTAAAATTATTTTAGCGAGGTGCAAGAAACAAGCAGTACCCCATAAATGCATTAAGTAATTCTCCAAACATATCTCTCAGCGTACTTATGGAAGCCCATCTGATAAAGTACAAGCTATTTCTTGGAAAAGGCACCCTGTTTTGAATCTTATAAGCGGCCACCTCCCGTATGAGACCACTTACACTTGCATCTTGTTTGGTCGCTTAGAATACGAGAAGCTTGACTGTATGTTGTGAAGTCCGAAAGAGAAGAACCTCATACGTAGAAAGCTTCCCTTGCTACCCAAGGCTTATTATTTTATTCATAGACATCGTTCTGCTGAAAATACCTTCCTTTTAGATATAACAAGTGCATACTGGAAATGAAACAGCATGCACCGGTATATCAAAAATCGTTTCTGCTGCAGTATTGGAATTATGTTTTGTTGATCCGTGTTGCCCGCATCATCTTATTTACTTTGTTAATAATTCTGTCCTTTCAGATATTAACGAGTGTACCACTAACGTCCATAACTGTGATGCCAATACTTTCTGCAATAACACTCAGGGGTCTTATAACTGCACATGTAGCCCTGGATACACTGGAAATGGAACATCAAGCATCGGTAAATTATCCTGCCTAATGTATGTAAAATTATTTTAGTTAGGTCCAAGAAAGAAGCAGTACCCCATAAATTAATTAAGTAATTCTCCAAACATATCTTTCTTAAACTGTGTTCAGGCACCATAATTCTCTCCTTTCAGATATTAACGAGTGTATAACCAACGTCTCAGGTAAATTAAGGCATGGGTCCCCAATGATTCAGTAAAAAAGTGATGGGGGGTGGTTTATCTCTGAGCACGTAAGCAGTAGAAAGATGAAACTTTGCCAGATAGATACTTGTGTGGTTTCTGTCAATTAGGTGATGTTCAATTATGCAAATGTTGTCTCGTGACTCCACACGACCAGAAAACAATAAAAAGTCTTTAAAAAAAAATGGCAACACTTTTTGTTGTGAGTTGTTAAACCGGACTGGTTTAGGACAATGTGTAATGCAAGCATCTACAAGACTGTGCTTGGCCTTTTTTGAATTTTTTACTGTTTTGGAAAATAAACGGCTTTTTCAACTAGACCCAGTCCCCCAAAGCAATTTTGTCCCATTTTAACGCCTTCGATTTTAAATATCTAAAGAAGGCCAAGAACAGAAGTGATACATTAAACAACATTAACATTATGCAACCGGTAAAATAATTGAAAACACACGAAAAAGTGTTGCCGTTTGAAGAACAAGCTTTTTCAGCCGATGGAGGTCACGTGACGTAATTTGCATAATTTTAAAGCACAAAATTGACGTAAACTAAAAATGTGGTTAGCTGGCAAAGTTTTATGTCTCTTCATCTAAAGCTCTTAGATATAGACCACCCCCTCACTTTTAAAGAGAGCAAATTAAGGCAAATTGAGGCCCATGCCTTAATTTACCTGAGGTCCATAACTGTGATGACAATACTTTCTGTAATAACACTGATGGATCTGATAAATGCACGTGTAGCCCTGGGTACGATGGAAATGGAATATCTTGCACCGGTAAATTATCATGACCAATACATTTTTCAAAAAAAAAAAGCAATGTATGTATTTTAACTCTTTGATTTTTTTAATTTCATTTCATTTCAAGTTTTGTTTTTCTTTTTTTGTTTTGCTTTTGTTTTTGTTTTTGCTTTTTTGGGGGGTGGGGGAGCTTAAAATCGTTTGAGCTGCAGTATTTGAATTATGTTTCGTCAAGAGCCATTATGGCTCTTGGTTTCGTTGATCTGTTTTGCCCGCATCATCTTTAATACTTTCTTAATAATGCTTTCCTTTCAGATATTAACGAGTTTACCACTAACGTCCATAACTGTGATGCCAATGCTTTCTGCAATAACACTCAGGGGTCTTATAACTGCACATGTAGCCCTGGATACACTGGAAATGCAACATCATGCATCGGTAAATCATCGTGCCTAATGCATGTAAAATTATTTTAGCGAGGTCCAAGAAACAAGCAGTACCCCATAAATGCATTAAGTAATTCTCCAAAACTATCTCTCTCAAACTGTGTTCAGGCACTTTAATTCTCTCCTTCCAGATATTAACGAGTGTACAGCCAACGTCCATAACTGTGATGCCAATGCTTTCTGCAATAACACTCAGGGGTCTTATAACTGCACATGTAGCCCTGGATACACTGGAAATGCAACATCATGCATCGGTAAATAATCCTGCCTAATGCATGTAAAATTATTTTAGCAAGGTCCAAGAAAGAAGCAGTACCCCTTAAATGCATTAAGTAATTCTCCAAACGTATCTCTCAGCGTACTTATAGAAGCCGGTCTGATAAAGTACGAGCTTTTTCTTGGAAAAGGCACCCTGTTGTTTGATTCTTGCATATAAGCGGCCACCTCCCGTATGAGACCACCAATACACTTCGCATTTTGTTTGGTCGCTTAGAATACGAGAGGCTTGACTGTATGTTGTGTTGTCCGAAAGAGAAGAACCTCATACGTAGAAAGCTTCCCTATCCAAGGCTTATTATTTTATTCATAGACCTCGTTCTGTTGAAAATAAGGGTTTTTTACCTTCCTTTTAGATTTAACGAGTGCAGGTCTAAGGTCCATAACGGTGATAATGTCAATGCGTTTTGTATTACTTTCCTTTCAGATATTAATGAGTGTACGACTAAGGTCCATAAATGTGCTGCCAATGCTTTCTGCAATAACACTGATGGATCATATAACTGCGCATGCAGCCCTGGATTCACTGGAAATGGAACATCATGCACCAGCAGTATGTCATTACGACCAATACTTGTAAAACTATATTATGAGGTCTAAGAAAGAAGCATCTTATACATAGAGTGCTTCTCTCCGTATTACCGTAGTGTGGATTTCCAAAGTCGCGTAATTTTTACGCGCCGATGCGTAAAATTTACGTTCGCAAATAAAATAGAGGCAATGTATTAAAGGTCACAACATAAAAGTTGAACCTCGCTCAACTTCACGTTTAAGGTCGACACTTTATACCTTGCCTTTATTTTATTTACGCGAGTAAAATTTCGTGAGCGTTTACACACGTAAAGAATACTATACGTCGGACAGTGGAAATCCACCCTTACTCAGCTTACTAATAAAAACCCGTCTGCAAAAATAAGCGGTTTTCTTCGCAATTCTCTCCTTTTAGATATTAACGAGTGTACGACTAACGTTCATAACTGTGATCCCAATGCGTTCTGTAATAACACTGATGGATCTTATAACTGCACATACAGCCCGCGCGTACTTAAAATTCTGACCTGCAACCTGCAAATTAGACTCTCCGGTCAGCATCACACCTTCATGAATGCCTCCCCAATAAACCGGCTCAGTGCACTCGAATGTTCCCTGGAAACACAAAACGTCCCGTGACAACCGGTGACGTGACTCTGGATGCGGATACCGACCGGAAATGGCCGATATATACATTTAAAGAAAGAAAGACATAATTCTGACTCCACTACACAACATCAACAGACAAAACGTAATGGCAAATAAGTTTATTTTGGGACGGCTTGGCGAGAACCAACCCTACAAAGTACGTAGATAACGAAACGGACAGGAAAACCTAGCTATCCCAGGAAACCGCTGAGTAAACAACTGAGAAAAGAAATCGGGCCATAATGCACGCGACGGATCCCACGCTACTCGAGAGGGAAATACTATGAGCGGCTACACACGGGACGCGTAGAACGTGGACTGTGGTGGACGACTAATATGAAGACAAAGCCGCCAGGTCGCGAGACAATTTAGCAATACGTTCATCCGTGGCTCTAATACTTCCATCCAGAGTGTTATGTTGAGATGAACGCGAAGCCACTAGAAAATTCGAACGGGCTCCCACAGGGACTTTTCCTCATAGGAATTCGAACAAAGCGAGACTAAAGCAAATCGGCATAGGCAGCCCGCAAACTGTAAATTAAGGCCTGAACGCGATAGGCTCCTCCTCCTATAGCTAGACCATAGTCAAGAAAAATGGCAATAGGGATACCTTGGCCTCTTCTAGATTTCTGAAGCGGTTTGAGGGAGGCTGACAAGAACCCAAAGGGAAGCGCGCAAAGTAGAAAATACCTAAAAACCCAGGTGCCGAGATCCCAGGTGAACGCAAGGAAACACTGGTGATCAGGGAAAATTACGATAACCGCACTAGAGGTAAATATGAATAAATATGAATAAATAAAAACCCATATCAAAAATATAAGTGGCCATGCACAAGTCTTCGCACTTGAATTTCTGTTTGAAGAAAAAAGTGCAAACGTGCCTAAAATCCAGGATTAACCTTTGTTAGCCGGAGCGGCGCGTCAAACAGAAAGCGGGTAAATGATATTGGAATGCAAAAATTATTAAAAGGAGGTTGAGGCTGGGAAGCTCATTAACAGCTACGGACAAAAAGAACTGTAAACACGTGCAGAGGCATTGTAGGATTTGTAAAAAAACATAAAAAGCTGGAAGAAGGGAATTTGTAACTAAGACTAAAAACATTCAAAATGAACAGAGAAACTAGCAAAGTATGCCAGAAATAGATAACTGTGAAAAATCTTCCCCAAACTGAAGGCAGAATAGAAATATCAACGGTACACTCAGAGCTCTAAACCGCGCCTAAAACTAGCGGGGTGAACGTCAAAAGAAACTGGTATAATATCGAGACAATCCTGATCCATATTACGGCTTGCCGCCTAAAAAATTCAGTACTAAATTAGAATAGACTGCACCTGATTGTTGTCCTTCATCTAGCCATTTGGGAGTTTGGGATGTTTGGCTTGTCCATCGTCGGGTAACAGGAACGCTTTCCACGGGCAAAACAGGTCCCGACACTGGGTCGTCGAGAAGGCGAAAATCAAAACAGGAACGTTTGACATGAGGCTGGGGTTGCATATGTGAAGTTGAGGTGGACGCCGGCGTTCCCACTGGCGAGGATCTGTTTTTGAGTGGTCTTCTTCTTCTTACGGGCCTAGTACGCTACACGGCCGCAAAATTCTGCACTGTGGATCCTTTAAAACTGGTTTTCGTTGGCCTTCTTCTTGAACTTACGAGGTTCGTTATACTTTAGTTTCTTAATTTCCTTCATCTGCTGCTCGGCCAAATATTCATTAGCGCGCTTGATTTGACCAACGGTTTCTGTTAACAAAACTTTAAACGAGTCCATTAACTGTTTGTTATTCTCCTCAATGAGATCGGACACTTCGTCTTTGCTGACGGATATAACGCAAGAAAGAGCCGATAAGAACGTTAAGAAAAACCAAGGAGAGGTTGGTTCGTAAGCCTAGATGACGAACACGTGATATACGCAACCTTATATACCCCCGATATGGCTACCCATGGTGCACCCGGCCTAGTACCCAGGCCCTGTTGTATCTCGTGCCGTCAAAATATTTATTTCTGCCTTCTTCGCGGGCTCATTCGTTCATTCTCTCCTTTTAGATATTAACGAGTGTACGACTAACGTTCATGACTGTGATCCCAATGCGTTCTGTAATAACACTGATGGATCTTATAACTGCACATACAGCCCGCGCGTACTTAAAATTCTGACCTGCAACCTGCAAATTAGACTCTCCGGTCAGCATCACACCTTCATGAATGCCTCCCCAATAAACCGGCTCAGTGCACTCGAATGTTCCCTGGAAACACAAAATGTCCCGTGACAACCGGTGACGTGACTCTGGATGCGGATACCGACCGGAAATGGCCGATATATACATTTAAAGAAAGAAAGACATATATATATATGTGTCAACCGGCTTTGCATGCCGCTAAGACTACGCGCGGCCCAGGCGCTGCTTGTGCGCTTCACGCACTCGATTTTGCAAGGAATTTTGAACCTGTCCATCCCGGGGGGTCTGGGACGGTTGAGCCAAATTTCCCCCGATCTGAATTTACTGTTTTCTGTCTATCTCCCTTTTCAGAAATAAGTACGCTTGACTGCTGGCGCAGCGCATCCAGGATGCCGACTGTGCGTGGTTGGGATTACTCAACTAATCCTAGTGGCAGTGACAGAGTGGACGCTATCGATTTCATGACAACTCGGAACGTCATTCTGTCAGGGTACCGTCTGTGGGGAGTCAAAAGCGTCAGTTCAACTACTTTCCTGGTCACCATGAGTTTGTCAAGTCAAGTCAAGTCAATCTTTATTTAAACACGGTAAAATCCATCAGGAATTTAAAAAATTAAAAAAATAACCTAACTATCCTAAACAAAATTCAAAACCTGACTACAACTAATCTAACTAAAACCTGTTTTTCATGAATGCCGTGTATAACATTAAAAATGAACATTAACTAATCTTTTAAATTGACTAAGAGATTCGGCTTCTCTCACATGACAGGGTAGGCTGTTCCAGAGAACTGCTCCGCTATAAGTAAAGCTGTTTTTCATGAAATTAGTTCGCGGAAATGGGACAAATAGTTTGTTAACAGAGTCCCTCAGGGAGTAACGCGTTTCATTTCGTTTAACAAACTTAGATGATAAATATTCAGGAACAAGGCCATTTAAAGACTTGTATACCATTATGGATTTCTGTATTTGAAATTGAGTGCTCAAGTCTTTCCAATCGAGTTGTCTAATCAAACGGTTAGCATCAGCATCATAGCTAGAGAAGGTTAAAACGCGAGCGGCACGGTTCTGAAGCTTCTGTAGCCTGTCAAATAATGTTTTACCACAATTACCCCAGACAAGATTGCAATAATCGAAATGAGATTGAATTAGTGAGTTGTATATATAGTGAAGGGTAGGTGGAGGGACAAAAGGTCTAATTCTTTTTATTGCTCCAATTCCGGAAGCGACCTTTTTAGATAATTTATCAATGTGTGTTTGCCACCGTAGATTTTCATCAATAAATATTCCAAGCGATTTGACAGAGGAAACGTGTTCTATCGGAACATTATTAATCGAGAGCTCAAGTGGGTTCGACAAAGTACTCAATTTTTGTCTGGAGCCAATTAGCATGAATTCAGTTTTAGAAGTGTTCAAAGTAAGTTTATTGGAAATAAGCCATTTGTTTAGGTTATCTAAATCGTGACTCAGAGTTAACTGTATTGAATTCACATCAACGCCAGCATAAGTAATGTGGGTGTCATCGGCATACATTCTAGGCTGGCACGAAGTAAGGCAGTTAGGCAAGTCATTAATATAAATAAGAAATAAAAGGGGGCCAAGGATTGTTCCTTGCGGTACCCCACATTTAAGAGAGCAGATTCTAGAAAGAGAACCGTTAACAAGACATCGTTGTGTACGATTAGTTAAATACGACCTAAACCAATCAAGAGCAGTACCTTGTATTCCGTAAAGGTTCATTTTAGCTAGAAGGATATCGTGGTCAACGGTGTCGAAAGTTTGTACCGGGAACACAGCTTGATCGCTAACAAGAATGGAACCTACCCTACTAACTCCAGTGTGAAGACGTTTGAAGTGCATTTCTCACAAGAGATCGCCATAAGTCCTAATATCACATATACTGCAGCTGTTAGAATAGTAACATCCGCAAGCTCTTACGCTCATAACGACGGCATGTCAAGTGCATCTTGTTCAGGTGTCAGTGTTATTTTCACAACATCGTCAATAAACAGCAACGGGTCAAACCAGCAGTATGGCCAAATTCCGTCTTTAATATTGCTTAGCAAGGGGTCACATTTTAATGCTCATACTGACCCCATCTTTAAGGACCTCGGTATACTAAAATTTAATGATATCCATTTGCTTCAACTGGGTCAATTGGCCACTCCAGAAAATACCATAAC